TGCAGCATGAATCCTCAACACATTTGGCTTGTTTATGTGAAGTTATAAACAGGCAGTAGTAAGATCTGGCTTTGGTGGTGTGTGACAGACATATGTAGCCATTATATATTTTTAAATAAAACCAAAATGCCTTTCACGTGTTTTGGTGTGTGTGTCTTTACAAAGCTGCTGGTGATATTTTTGTCTCTATGGGTAAGATATGGAGTATTTCCTCCAGAATCTACAGGCAGGCAAGTAATGCCAGTCTCTCCCCTGGGGAGACAGGACAGAAGGTTTCATCTGGTTTAATAGGATCAAGATGACAAAAGACTGGAATGATGTTAATCTAGCAGCCCTCTTCTGGGAAAGGGACTTGCTTTCAGTGTAAGAAAACAAAACCACGGGAGTAACTATCCTGCCAGGAACCCTGTGAGGAAGTTTGGGAAGATTACAGACTAAAAGTAAGCTTGTATGCCAGCTATTTATTGTCAGTTTATGGTTTGATAGTTTATGCTATATCAATAATACATTATTAACACAGCATATAAATATTTTAAAATAGATAAATACTAGCATTTTTTGTCTCAGGCAGACTACTCCTGGAATGCTTTTGTGGGGGCACAGCAGCACTTTGCTTTCCAATCCCTCCATCACCTTGTTGCTACCCCCATGACAGAGCAGCACGTCCTGCACTACCTGCAGGCCTGCTGAGGTGGGCACCAACCTGTGGTGGCTTCACCCTGACCAAGGGCAGCTGAGCAGGGGTGGGCATCACCTTGGCCTGCTCTGGAGGGCAGCTCCGCTTTAAAGTAATCGCTGTACAGTTACCTACTTTGATTTGCTATATTACAGCTGGATGCCATGTTCTTCATCTCCTAAATTCCCTCTCCAGGTACTCATAAAAATCAACCAAAGTGACAGACAGGCATCTGTCTCAAAATCTCTGCAGAAAAACATTGAAAATATAGATTTGTTTTCACAAATCACTCAGGAATCATTACTGAGTCTTGTCCCAACAGTTACCAACTTCAAATCAAATTGGTTTTGTCAGCAGAAACTGATGAGTTTCGTTTCATTTGGCACAACCCTAAATTGTGATAATGACAAACACAGATTAAACAAATCAATTGTCAGGACTCATTCTAGTTTAGACATGCTTTGTAAAGAATAAAAGATTAAAAAATGAAATAAAGACTGAAACAATAAACTATTTCAACTGACTTTTTAAACGTGTGAAGAATATAAAAAATTATTTAGAAGGAAATGCATTACTTACTAAAAAATTTCACTTCAAACTATATAGAAGTTTGATTTTTAACTCCCCTTAATTACAAGTAAAACTTCATATTGCAATACCTAGGTGACAGCTGATGTTTTCTCCTGCAGCTATGTGCATTTGCAATGCTATTTACACTATTTCACAAGATAAGTCAATCTGTATTTTTCACTATTGCTTTCTTGAGTCTTTCCCAATGCAGCAAGTAAAGGAGTCACAGCATTCTCCCCATCACAGCCTCCAAAAAAATTAAACAGTAAAACCTGTAAGAACTGGCAGCAGTCACACACAGTGTTTAGGACTTAGAAACAATCTTAACTTCTTAAAAAAACCCAAACCAAAATCCAAACTTGTTTAAGAAGGCCAGACAAGTTCTTTATATAACAATTCAAGTGTACATAATTACTATTAAAATATGTAGATCACTACCTCAAATTTTTTAAAAAACCATGTTATGAAGTCTGAAAAATTACAATATACTTCTACAAAAAAGTTTTCCTCCCTCTGATCTCTCACAACCTGAGGTTTTCATACAGACTGCAGGTTTGTTCAGTAATTGATTTTTCCTAAGTCATGATGTCTTTGAGGCATTTCATACAGGAGAGAGAAAAATAAACACACACAACTCCAGCCTGGTGCTCTCCTTCCCCAGAATCCTGCCAGTAGGGTAAAGTCTAGAAAGTCCACGCTTATTGGTTTTTATATTGGCTTGTATTGTTCTATTAAGCCCTTTGGTGTCTAGGCTCAGAACTTTTTTTCAAACCTGTTCTCTTCTCAGAATCCCTACAACTGAAAATGAGACATTTACGTATATAAAATCAGCCCCATATAGGGATCTACATGGTGAAACAGCTATCTTGATGCCTTCTGGAGAATACTGCACTTTAGAAAAGCCACATTTTCCTACAAAGTTTAAAGACTAATGATTAAAATGGTACATGTGAATAAAGTCATCCAGCAGACAGGTTTTTTTGCCGGGTCTGTTTATTATCTCCCCACCAACACCAATAACTAAATTCACATACTAACCACGCATTGCGCTGTGTGCTTTTTGAGAAGTAACAGCCCGATGTGTGTCAAGGCCAACATTTCCTTGGAAATTTGGTGAGGATTATGCTACAAAAATCTTTGTGCATTATGACTGGATGTCCCGCTGTGCAGCTACGCTGCTTGCTACTTCACAAATACCACAGTGACGTGAGTGGTTACTCAGACCACTGTACAAAAAGGAACAGCTTTAGGAAAGTTGCTGCTTTGCTTATCGTTACAGATTAGAAAGATTCTGACTTGAACCTGTAATTGTTTATTTAGGTAATACTCTACATGTCCCTTCCTGGAGCTTATGGTTACCCAATGATGGAATTTCACTGATTCACAGAAAATTTTACAGTATAGATATCACACCACCTTTAGCCTCATTTATAACAGTGTTTGTTTTAGAGGCAGAAAGCTACGTTTCTTCAGCCAGCTGACACAGTATATACCAATAGAAAATACTCTGGATTTCTTCTCAAGGAAAAATGTGACTGTGCTGATGTACTTAGAAACCACTCTGGAATTCACACAGTAAAGTGTTTCCACAGTTTAGCAACAATATACTGGGGTAGGAAATCTAAAGACAAATCAAAGCTATATAAAAGCACATACACATTAATCTGTATACACATTATGACACTGACAGTAAGCACTTCAAGCAAGGATTAATTTTATTCAGAGCGCCTACTGCAGTAGCTTTCAACACCTGCATCACCAGGGACCATCAGCTGCTAATAAAGAGGCTGTGGAAAAAGTCACTTAGAAATCCCATCATATTGACAGCTGGCTTAAAACCACTGCTGTACAGCAGTCTGTACCTACACCAGAAAATTTCAGGAATACACAAGTCAAAAAAGGCTGAGGATCTCTCTGACCTATCACAATGACATTCTGGTTCATAAAACGCTATTAAAAATACAAAAAGTAACTCAACCTATTAGAAAGAAACAAGCTTCTTACAGATTTCTTTTTTTAAGTGTTCTGCTCTCGCATTACACAGATACATTTACCAAAACTTTCAACTGAACCACTAGCTAGTTTTGCTAACCTTTGATTAGGTGCCCTATATATAAGGCTTGAACTGAAATCTGTCACTGCAAGGTGATGCGAGTTCCATTTTGGTCCTTCTACAGAATATAAGACATTGCAGCCAGAATTTTCCTGTTTAGGGAGAGTTTTGCTCTAAGTAGATATAGGGTAAAATCTGAAGCGACTTAATTTGCAGAAAGGTCTCTGTACCCTTTTAATGATTCAACAACTTGCTGGAAGCAGCTACATCTTCCATAGGTCTCACACGGCATCTGCTATGACAAGTCAGGTGGAGACTGCTACCTGAAAAGACTACTGCAGGAGCCCACTGCTGAACTCCAGTTTCTCACATATATTTGGGGGAAAAGATAAAGCTGATTTTCACTGGTTTTGGAAGAAAGCTTCTGTTTTCTTTTAGTTCTGTTCCTGTAATCAAGAATGCAAGTAAACAAAGAGCAAAGAAGGGGAAAAGTCACTTCTTGGCAGGCTTCCCCTTTTTTAACTTGTCCTATTGGCCAGCAGGCAGTGGAGGACCATCAGGAAAAACATGGAGTTTACTTCTTTCGCCTAACATTCAAGCTAACATGTGGGTAGTTCAAACTACACAACTGCAATGAAAGGTGAAGATTAGGCAAAGGAATAGTCAGCCTGTGTCCTGACACTCAAACACGTCACCCCAAAGTCAATGGGACTGTGGATCGTGCATCAGTGATGTGCCATTCAGTGGAACACCACCATTCACACTGGCTGGGAGCTGGTGCCCTTTTCAAGTGGGTAATCTTTTAGCAGGATATTTAAGAGGCCAAATTTCAGTAAAGCCATTTCTTATTTTCACCACTCGCTTGCTTACCTGTAAAACCTGCTCACCAGAACCTCGCTGGTGAATCCCATTCCTCCCCAAAACTGGAGACAGCTATCGGTCACTTCACGGGCCAGACGACCTGCCTTTAGCTTAGCCATGGAAGCAAATTTTGTCACGTCGTTGCCTTCCACATAGAGAGCTAAAATAAATAAAAAAAGCAGTCATACGCACAGAATCACTGACCAGAGGCTGCCTCTGTGGCAATCACCTCCCCACGCTCCTTCAGCCTGACAACACTCTTGGCATGAAGAGCAGCACATCTGGGAAGGCAGATGTGGGAGCTCACCAACGGTGCGGTACAGCAGCGCGCGGAGGAGCTCCACTTCGGTTGCCAGCTCGGCCAGGCGGAAGTGCACAGCTTGGTTGTGCAGGACGGACTGGCCAAACACTTTTCGCTGGTGAGTGTAGTCAATGGTTTCTTGTATTACAGTTTCCAGTGGTGTCAGGACTTATAGAAGCAAAGCACAGAACAAGACATAATTTTAGCCAGATCTGTTGTTTTTCCTCTTGAAAAGATCTTTTTTTCACATTGTACAAACCATACATGAGGTTTTCTAAAGTGAATTATTCCATACAATCAGTTTGGGGTGCAGAGTTTAAATTCTGAAAAAAGTCTGGTATTTCCTTGTACCTTGAAGACCTCTTTACCCCTATTTCACCTGAGCTCCAAACTGCCAAAACCCAAAGGAGAGTGAAGGGGGGTGGCGAGGAGGGAAGGAAAGCCATAGAGAGCCATATATAATGATGAGTATGTGAACTTTATCTTTTACTGCCTCATTTGGGGCCCTAGCAAAAGCTTGTGGAAACTCCTGCTTTCCATGCTACCCGAGTCCTGAAGGTCTGTTACCATCCTGAAAGAAAATCTGAAGGCAGACAGTGTGCTCACTGAGGAATACTGTAGAAATGTAATTCAATGAAGCTTTGAGGGATAAGGCAGAAACCTATTTAGTCAAGGAACACAAACAGACTGCTCACCGTGTCTGCATTCTGTGATCAGATCCCAGTGTAGAAAGTAAAGGAAAAACATTCAGATTCACAGCCACTTCTAATAAATGCTAAAAATGCTTCTGATGGAAACAGAATCAAAATAGGATACTGCCGTAAGAGAGAGGTAGGAGACACTGCTTTGAAGCAAGAGAACTAGTTTGCTGCTATTTTTTGAGGAAACTTAGACTCTGTTTTAAACAAGAAGAAGAGGGAAAAGTTTGTTTTCCAAGACAAACCAGCCTTGAAGTGAAGGGCTAGGCTATCAGTCTCTTGCAGCTTAGCAAGAGTAACAGCAGGTGCTGAATTTGTGGAGAATTTTGTTTGGCAAATGTGGATCCGTGTCACTATAGCACTCAGTAGGAAGAGGGAAAGAGTTCACAACTTCATCTGTGTGAGCAGGATCATGTTTTCTCTTTTCAAAATATGCATATCCACATCTATTCACTTGTAGAATCTAAACCACAAAAATTCAAATCTGCAATAGAAAATACAACCAAACCTTGAACTGCTACAAAATCCCTTTTCCCACCTGCCATGGCTCCTCCAGTTACTCACATGACAGCGCTGGTGAGACCACATCTGGAATATTGCATTCAGTTCTGGGTCCCTCAGTTCAGGAAGGACAGGGAACTGCTGGAGAGAGTCCAGCGTAGGGCTACAAAGATGATTACGGGAGTGGAGCATCTCCCTTATGCGGAAAGGCTGAGGGAGCTGGGTCTCTTTAGTTTGCAGAAGAGGAGACTGAGGGGTGACCTCATTCATGTTTATAAATAAATAAAGGGTGAGTGTCACGAGGATGGAGCCAGGCTCTTCTCGGTGACAAACAATGATAAAACAAGGGGTAACGGACACAAGCTGGAACACAGGAGGTTCCACTTAAATTTGAGAAGAAACTTCTTCTCAGTGAGGGTGACAGAGCACTGGAACAGGCTGCCCAGAGAGGTTGTGGAGTCTCCTTCTCTGGAGACATTCAAAACCCGCCTGGACGCCTTCCTGTGTAACCTCATCTAGGTGTTCCTGCTCCGTCAGGGGGATTGGACTAGATGATCTTTTGAGGTCCCTTCCAATCCCTAACGTTCTGTGATTCTGTGATTCCTGACAGGATCCTGGTGTGCTTCCATATTCCTTTCTGCATCACTTTGAAGATCACCTCTATTTAAATTTTATCCTTATACTGATTTCATATGCAGACTTTGCATCTCACCAATTGCCCCCTGCCTCGATCATTCACCAGCTCTTCCAGAGAGCACTTTTTTCCACATGTTGTCCCCACATTCCAACAGGTGAACAGCTTTTCGCATTCCTAATGCTGGTTTTCCGGACTGGAAAATAAATTGCTCTTTTCAGGGCAATTTCTCTTGTACAGAAGGAACATCTCTGTTCTTCCAAATGACCACATAACACAACACTGTAACATATAAACTACTAACAGCTTTTTCACTTGTATGTCTATGGTCTCCAGCTTAAGACATGCTATAGGAAGAGCAAGAAGCATTCAGGCACCTCTTATCCCTTGCCCCCATACTGATACCTGGAAAGCATAGAAGTGAGTCTGAGATGCCGGAAACTGAACAGTATCTGCCAGTGCTAGGAGAACAGAAGGTAGGGACAAGGACAAGGGATTATTCTTGTGTTGGTCTGTCAGAGCAAGGTGCTCCAGCACAGCTCATGTGGTTCCCAGCATCCAGCACCAGGAAAAAAAAGCAACAGGAAACACCAAAGAAGAGGCAGGAGCAGAACTAAGTGGGAAGGAACAGAACTGCGCTTGTTTAGGTCCTGCTTGCAAAAGGGCTGAGGATCATGAAGAGGTTTTAGCCTCCCTTTGCTGAGGCTGTCACCACACATCAGGGCTAGGAGCAGCAAGCTTGAGAATTGTTCTCAGTTTCCACCTCTATTTCAATGCCTCCTTCCTGCCCCACGATTCCTCTGATCTGTCCTCTTGTTTCCTCAGCTGCCATCATCACCCTTCTGCTTACTCCTGGAACTACCATTTGCACACAGAAATAAGCAGAGAAAATACTTTAAGGACAGTCCTGGGCTGCATAGAAAGAAACATGGCCAGCAGGCCAAGGGAGGGGATTGCCCCCCACTACTCTGCTCTTGTGAGACCCCACCTGAAGCACTGCATCCAGCTCAGGGCTCCCCAGTAAAAGAAAGGCATGGATCTGTTAGAAAGGGTCTAAAGGAAGGCCACAAAAATGGTCAGAGGGCTGGAATACTTCTCGTGTGACGAAAGGCTGAGAGTTGGAGTTGTACAACCTGAAGAGAAGACGACTTCAGGGAGACCTTTCAATATATAAAGGGGGCTTATAAGAAAGATGGAGAGAGGCTTTCTACCAGGGCCTGTAGTGACAGGACAACGGGCAACAATTTTAAACTGAAGAAGGGTAGATTTAGACTGAACATAAGGAAAAAAATTCCTTATTATGAGGGCGTTGAGACCCTGGAACAGGTTGCTCAGAGAAGCTGTGGATGTCCCATAATTGGAAGTGTTCAAGGTCATGTTTGATGGGGCTTCAAGCAACCTGATCTGGTGAAAGATGTCCCTGCCGAAGGCACAGGGATTGGATGTGATGACCTTTAAAGGTTCCTTCCAACCCGAACTATTTTATGATGCTATGACTACACGTATGTAGAGCTATAAGCACAGCTCTAACATGGCAAAGCTTTGCTGTGCAGCAAACAACAATGAAACGCAGCATGTTGTGAAAACCACGACTGCCAACAGCCTTGTACAACATAACAGCACACAATACTTTGCTGGTCATATAAATACAGAGAAATGCCACTCTTAACAGTGAAACTCACTTTCTCTCCAAACTTTTTTTTTTCGTGTGTGTGTATATTTGTTTCCTCTTTTGTCGTATAATGTTCTCTACATCCTCAGACAAACCTGGCCTCATGGGCTTCAACTGACAGCACATCCAGGAAATGTCACTCTAGGTCAGCCTAAGGAATGCACAGTCTACCGCACAGCAGAGAATTGTGAGAGCTCTTGAAGTTGCCAGATGCAGAATAATCTTTTCCTCGTACCTCCATCCAACTTATATTTTTCCACTTGGAACTTCTGCTCACTGTAAACACATTTTGTTTTCCTACATCTCCCCTCAAAACGAACAAAAAAATAACGTATTTTTCTAACGCTGTGGCTGATCACTCTCTAGTGAGATGTACAGTGAGCTCCAAGCTGAGCAATCTGTCTCTTAAGGATGTGCGTTGCCCATGCAAAAGGATCTGTCATCCTGCTTACTGGCCATGACTCAATGCTGCTCATAAAACTGAGACTACAGGAGCAGGCAGAAGTCATTAGAAAAGTGCTGTTCTGCTCTCTCACACACTGAACTCCTCCTTTGCCTCCAAGTTAAGCAATTCACAAAAAAACCTGTCTGCTTCTTGCCATAGCAACATTCTTTTCCTGTGATCAGTGTAACAGGTCTGCAAATGGATGGTGTTTACTGAGTGTCACATCACGGGATTGGTACGTGGCAGCTCTTCCCTTTCAATGAAGCAAAAAACACGATGACTTTTGCCAATGCTTTTGGTAACATGGCACTTGGAAGAAAAGACCACACCTGTGACCAAATTTTGCAATTCCAGAAAATTAGTTTTCTATTTATATTTTAAATCTGCTTCACTGAAAATTCATTTTAAAAGGAAAAGAAGAAAAGAAGGTGAAGAAGGAATGAAATTCCCCACACATTCTGAAATATGGCCACAAAAAAGATAATTAATAAACAAAGAGAAGGCTGGAGCACATGATACTTGATACCAAAAATATATAAAACCAAAAAACAAATCAAAACTACCTAAACACAACAAAACAAAACCCCCGAAAAGAAAAGAAAAGAAAAGAAAAGAAAAGAAAAGAAAAGAAAAGAAAAGAAAAGAAAAGAAAAGAAAAGAAAAGAAAAGAAAAGAATGGCCGTCAACTCCCTCTTAGAAGTTTTAAGCAGCACTGAAAGCGAGGATGCCAGGACTGGCCCCTAAAGTGTTTGAAAGCAGACTGATGATTTTCAATGTCACATGAATAGTCATGAACTAAGAAGGAACAGAAACATCCTTCTGAGGGACAGAAGTGAGGACCAGGATTACACGTGCAGACCCAATCACAGAACTACTGAAGGCACATACATAGTTTTGCACATCTCTGCCTTCAGCAAAACACCTGTGGTGGAATGTATCTAACACCATTTGCAGGACTAAGCTAACAACTAGATGTTGTGGTGTAACAAACTGCATCCATCAACCACCTAGCTCCCTTCTGAACATCAGTTACTCCTTTTTACTGTTTACTGCAACTGGTTATCTCTGAAATCTGCAACTTGGCCCAAACCGTGGGTCTTTTCCCTGCTCCCACTGCTTTATTTTATATCAGACAGTGGATAAAAGCAAAACCAGGGACCCAGCAAGGTATAACACACTGACCAGCAAGCTGCAGGAGGCAGCTCCCTCGCCCTTGGCAAGCTCCAAGACCCTTCCTCCTTGATGGGCCCTGATGAGGGAGAAGATGCCCCTCCCAGACAGCTCATCCAGTGCAAGGGTTTGCCTACTCATGCCATATTTTTCTGGGCAAAAAGAAGAATTGAACCTGGTGTCCTGCTTCCTGGCAGAGCTTGGTGACTGCCCAGTGGTTGTGCAAGGCTGGACAGCACCAAGCTGCTGGTGGTTTTACCAGGAGTGACCAAACCTGCCAGGCTTCGTGTTTTGATGCTGTCAGTGTGCGTCACTTTTGCCTGGGGCATGACTAATGCCGCAGAGTACTCTGCTGCCTGGGTAGAATCACTGCAGCCCAGAGGTTCTGATAGCTTTAACTTAGATTTCAAACTGAGTATAAAAATGCACAATGCATGTCCTTGCAGTCTGTGTATACCTCGATTAAAGCAGTACCATCAGTAGGACCAAGTCTCCGCTTTGCTTAAGTCTGCAGTAGCATCCCTTGCAAGTCTAACCTTGTCTTTTTTGCTAAAACTACTCTCACATTTGCTATTTATCTCTGGCTGAAGTAAGAATTTTGGCCCAAATTAAAGATTTTTTTAAGGCATTTGAACTCAAAATTGTTTGGTCTGGGATCAACCCACAACAGGGAGTGATTTTTTTATTTGGTGACTGAATCAGAAAATCACTTGTTAGAGTTCCCAATTCCCCAGTCACATACAGACAGTAAAAGACAAGGTATGCACAGGAGCATTAATATGGTGAGGTTATTTATACAAACCTGAAATTTAAAGAGGACCAATCTTCTTACAGTGAACCGCATTATATTTAAGTTGAAGAAGTAAACACTGTTGGGTGGGGAGGCAGGTTGGGAGACTGAAAATGGACAATCCAGACTTGGATTTGGTTACCTTGAATATCCAAAATCTGTACAACTCAAATATGTGGATTCAAGTACGGCCTGAGTTGAGAGTAACAGGAATCCTGTGACAGTACAACTTCAGGGAAAGGAATTTGGTGCTGTACCATTTAATTCCAAAGTGTACAGAGGTATTACAGATCTGCAAAACAAAGCTCTTTCTTACATCCTGTAAGAGCCATTTCTCTATACAGCCAACAAGTTAATATTCTAAAATCCAGGACAAACATCATAGCTTACTCTATTACAAGGAAATAAACTGTCCTTTTATTTCATGCCAGTATTTTGATAGCCTTTGTACTATATTTGTAGCAGACATAACATGATGCCATGCTTTCTTACCAGCAGAAAATCACCGAGATAAAGAAACAAGGCAAAACCAGCCTCTGTGATGCCTCACGTAATATTTTCTATTTCATGTTTTCTACAGAAAGGGAAGGTTGTCTGTATCCAGGCTACAACAGATTTCAAAAACAGATTGTAAGAGGTCATTGCAATTTACAATAAGTGGAAAGTGCTGTTAGTCACACGCAGGGTGACCCCTCCTGCCTGGCCCCAGAAGCACAAGCGGTGACTTACCAGCGGCTACTCCCCACAGCCGCTCTTCTTGGAATTGCAACATCTGGTAAGTAAAACCCTTTCCTTCCTCACCGATGAGGTTTTTGCTGGGGACCCTTACATCTTCGAAAAAGATCTGAGCTGTGTCTGATGACCTCATGCCCAGTTTGTCTATCTTCTTAGCAATGTGAATGCCTGAAGAAAAAGAGGTATTAAAAAGGCCACAAAGAAAAGAAGCACTATGTACAAGTACAGCATTTTAAGAAAGTAAAATTTGCAGATGTGAAAGTATGTGCCAAGACTACAGTGAAACCTACCTTTAGGAAAAACGTAACAGCATTCTTGAATTTAAGAGTCCACATCCTGTTTTTAAGAGTTTTTCCATTTTATTTAACAAGCAAATCAAAATCTGCAATTTTAAAGGTCCCACTTTTCATTAAGTCCCAAATTAATAATTTTTTACAAGCAGTCATAATCTTACTTCATGCACATCTTTAAATAATGCAATATTTAAGTTTGATATGTAGTGCACAATACTAAAATGCTACAAGTTCTTGCTATCATTCAGACACAAGCATAGCTTAGCACTGTGTCATGAGAGTTTAACAGAGAGCCACTGACTTTTGGGGCAATTCCCTTGAAGTCTTCAGTTTTTACCTCCGTGTTGCTCTGGGGCTAGTGTGACTATTTGGAATGGAAGTAAAGAATCTTTCAGAGGTAAACTAAGACCAACAACCAGATATGAGGATTTGTGTAAAACATGGTGATTACATCTGCCAAGTCAATATATGTAGAAGAACAGTCCTCCGAATCAGCATAAGTCTTCTGCAGAAAACATTTTACTACCCAAGTACACGGTACACTAACCAGTTTCATGATAAAGCAGTATTCTGTTAATGTTTTCCTCTTTAATCCTCTAACGTGACTTTGTATGAGTTGGTCACCACACAGATTGCTGTGGTCCCTCTGTGTACTTGTTTGTACGTTGCTATCCTTCATGGCTTTCAGCAAACATCTCTTTCTGCAATAATACAGACATCTCAACTTCTACTGACAGGAGACCTTCAACCATGTGAACATTACTTTGGTTTTGCAGGCAGAAGAAGTTGGCAGTAATTTCCTTCAGGTTCACTCTCTCTGGCTGCATTGAATAAGGTTACGGAAAGTTTCATCTCTCAGCAGAGATGAAATACTGACACTATTTCCAAATGTCAAGACTGCTCTCAGAATAAGGTCCACATAGACTTCCACACCTTCCACTCAACATTTTTTTCCATCAGCCAATCTATAAACAGATTATGCGTTAGCAATACTTGCTCTGATATGTGTTCAACACAGGAAGAAAATCAGGACAGCTGTATAAAAATCTTTGACTCTTGGACTGAAAATTATCCAGCAATTTGCACCCAGTCATGCCAGAAAAGCTTTTGTGGTTTGTTTCTGTATTAAAATCAGAGCTAAACAAACACACACTGAAACATTTACAGGTGCAAATGATTACTGGAACATCTATTCCTGTTGGAATATTACTGCTTGGTTTCTTTGAGAGTCTCAGAGATCATGCCTTTGGTCTACTTCCAGCTGGTTTTCCGCAATCATTGCTCGTCACCCATACAAAAATGCACTTACTGCTCTTGTTAGTCGGTGGTTTAATAAGGACTCTGCTGGGAAAAATGCAACTGCTGCCAGTTCTTCATAGTGCTATGTCAATCCTGTTGTGTACTTCCCCAGATCCACATACAACTATTGAAGAAAGCTCTTACAGGTTTGGTTAGAGGAGTTAAATCTATTAATGATTTCTACCCATAACTCTTCCAGACTGGGTTGTGTGTTCAAGTTTCCTGAATCCAGCAGCACCTCCTCTTTGTTGTACCTTACCACCTGCTCTTAGATTAATTTGTGTTTCTCATTCAGAAGGAAGCCAAATTGCATCAGCCTCATGTAGTGCTCTGTTGCTAGGACATGCTTTATATTTTCTCTTTTAAAGACAATGATACATAAACATCTCTTTGGCTACAATACAAGCATCAAAATCTTCCTTCACTTAGTTGAATTCTCTTCATTGTTTTCATAAGGAGTACTATGTACTAAAAATTACCAGCAGCAGTAGAAATCATCTGCCCAGGTAACTCCTGGAGCTCATCTGTGTTAAATAAATCAGAAGTCATCCAATAACACACAAATCTCAATCTAGCAAGGCCAAGTGCCTGACTTACTAAAATTACTCTAAACAGAGCCATTTGTACTACTTGCACCAGTATCACTGAGATAGATTGCTGTATCTCTTCCTGGTCAGTTCTTTCTAGGATTCTTTTATTTTTCATTTTCTTCCACTCCTCCAGCCTTCTGGCAATCTCTTTTATTTCCTATATTCTATCTTCAGAGAAAGGCAGGTGCTCTCTCCTGACACCATTTAGTGCCATTACAAATGGAAAGAGGAACATTTTAAATTGCAACCCGAGAAACATGCTCTTTTTCCTTTCCTGGATGCTCTTCTTTTTATTATCTCCTCCTTGCAATCTACTCGAGTGCTATCTGAGGACTTGGAGGACAAACCAGCACACAATTAGTTACCAGATTATGGCTGCAAGCCATTTATCTATATATCTTACACACAGACATTTTACAACTTGTTAGTTTCTCTTCTGTCATATGAGAAATTCAGCTTTTTTGTTTAAGACCTCATTAGTATGAGGAGTATTCGCCTCATTAGGATATCTACTGTGAATCCACATCACTGTTATCCAAATTGCCTTTATGAGAAATATATTCAAGCAATGTCTGTCAAATCTAGACAATGATTTGCATCACCCCAGAACGGACACTGTACACATCTAAAATTAGAAGCAGCAGATTCAACTTCGTATCACAAATAAACTACCAGTTGTCAAAGTGAGTAATTCACTTTCAGACTTGTAACTATTTTTTTAATTGCCACCCTATACAAGTATGAAACAATTAAAATGTTTGTGAAAAATGCTGGACTAGTCTCCCACGTCCTTTCAGCTGCGAGCAAGGAATGAGTTACCGCTGCACCATAGATCCTTTCCTTCCCCTGCCATTCAGGCTGGTGGCTGCAGCAGTTAGAGATAACACACTTGTTCTTGAGCTTTGACACACATACATCTACAGATGACTGATAATGCATCATTCAGTGGTGTCCTCCAAACACTTCCCATACAGCCTTGGTCTGCTGCCCTCCAAAGAGCACAATCTCTGGCAGACAGGCATCCTTAGGATGTATCCAGACAGCTGGAGCTTCCTCCTCACATCTGTGTCAAATGGCAGCCTTTTCCATACTTTTCCTCTTTGTCTTCCTGAAAAATCTCACTTCCGCTATGACCCACCCACTGAGCACAATCTACTGCCTTAGTACTTCATTTCAAAAGGTCACCAATCTTGGTACAGTGACCCTTTTGGAGGTCAATATCTGCATCACACAGAAGAATGAAAGCACATACATTTTGAGGAGTGCAATTTTTGTTTTTAGGAAGACGTCTGCACCTCTGCAGATCAGCTTCAGGTGACTCAGGCAAAATCTATTTACTGCAAGTAAAGAAGGTCTATGTGTAGGCTGTGTGACCTAACAACATCCTCCCCTAAAGCTACAGTGACTCACGTGTCTTTTCAGAATAAGCAAAGTAGCTGAAAAACTTCAAGTCAGTTTCTGTGTATTTGATCTGCTTCTAACAGTGGGTTGGCTAGTTTGTTGTTTCTGGAAAACTGATTTCAGAGAAGTAGTATTGCATTCGTACTCTGTCCTTTTCATGAAAAATCACAAGGAGGACTTCATGCAGGTGGGTGATAAGTGAGTTCATCTGGAAATTTAGGGAGATTGTGGGTCTGAGTTATATCTTTGCCCATCTCTTACCAATAAGGACAAAGTCAACAACTGCTGAAGCAGATCAGGTCCATCTTCTGTGAGCTCCCATTTAAAGTTTATCTTGCGTGAGCAGATGTTGTAGAAACTCAACCTGCTCAGAACTTGCTTAATTCCCAGGGCCACTCACTCCCTTGCTTGTCTTACTCCACAGGAAAATAAGGAAATACACTTACAAGACATTCCCTTATCACCCTCTTTTGCAGCATTGGAGACCTGGGTTTGTTCTCAGTCTGACCCATTAAGTGAACATATGGACCAAGACTACCATGGTGGTGTCCCTACATATGAAATGCTGATAATAACATATATTTTGTATGTAAAATACTCTGAGAAAAAAAAGTCATAGGT